ACATGGTTGCCCCATGCCTMKCTCTTGCCTTGCTGACCCTTATAAGCTTCTGGATCCCGTCAGAGAGTGGGGAGAGGATCGGTTTTGTCACCACACTCCTTCTTGGTATGATGGTGTTCTTGCTGATTGTTCCAGARTCCCTTCCCGAGTCYTCAGAATCCATTCCAGTTTTAGGCAAGCTKATGATGAGTACGATGGTTGTGATTGGGTTCGCGCTTTTGGCCACTATTTTCGTTTTAAGATGCTACCACTCCACAGGAAGCCCGCCWCGAYTCTTASAGTGCTTGAYGAAGTCCTCWAGTGTAAAAAAGACCTCGCCTTTTGATTCAACCGAGATTCCAAAAACTTCWCAARCCGACATTAAGTTGAAAGAGGTRCAGCGRATTGAATCGCCCGAAGAACCACCGACSTCYGAGAAATCGAGTGTCGAAGATGACAATCGYTGGGGTGCGTCGATTTCCGAAAAGCTTGACAAATTYTTCTTYTTGATCTTTGCCATTGTGATAATCATATTGTACGGGAGTATCTTGGGGCYGGCAATAKCAAAYGTCACTTCATTTGAWGAGTGAGAAGACTTCTGCATGCTTAAAGTACTTTGACTACATGCACTCGGTAAAAATTGCTCTCTAATAAGGGTCGTAATAGTCAACACTCATTTATCTGGGTTTTTAATATAATTTGGCCATAACATCGTCTTCCTCAAACATCTTACAGAATGTACAATTACGACCCAATTATAACCCATTATACAATAATTACATTTATATTAGTTGTGCATGCTATTTGCTACATTTGAAGTAAAAAAAGTAGTAACTAATAGCAAATTAATAATTTAGTCTACTATGCATTTTACAGGTTAAGAGCATCGATCCTAGCTGTAGGCGGCTTGACACTTCTACAGTCTCCTACTCGGCTTTTGAACTTATCACATTTAGACTGCAATGTAAAATTAAAACGGGCTGGTTGAAAAAAAAATTAAAGATCGTTATTTGAAACCCCATTGAAATTGGTTGAAATCAATTGCCCCATCGCGTTAAATTATGTCACACCAAAACATTCTATTGTTTTAACGCTAAGGATTATGGTCGCCATAGAAATCAGAGTGACTGCAGCATATCAAATAAAATGTAGCTGATCTATCATTGATAAATGATAATTCGATACACTTAAGTTCTACTTTCGGAAAAAAAAGTTAAATAGTTCGAAATCTCGAGTCTTTCTGAGTTTACATAATTTTGGCTGACACGGGGATTTTTTAATCTCGCGATCTCCGTACTTATCCAGAACCGAAGTTAAAATAATAAGATTTTAACGAAAAAAAAATATAAATCGCTTGCTTAAAATTCTATTTGTTAAGTATTTATAATTTGATTCATCATATCGTTCCGTACATATTCGTCTACACATTCAATCTTCGAGTTGTGTTCACCGTTGGTGGCTTTTTTRATTAGGTGCATATATACAAAAGTTGAATACAAAGGAAAGAAATTTATAGGTAATTTATATATTAGGGCTTTGAGCTATTCAAACAATGATTGTTTAATGTCATCCATGTTTCAAAGACTTTTAGTATAATATACTAAAAACAATTTTATGCAAAACGCATAGTGACTTTTTTATCGAGTCATAAMTACAAGCTATGGTCAAGAATACGATGCCAGCTGTGTTAGATAAGAGTCCCCGAAGCTAGTTTTTAGTAACTTTGCCAAACAATTATAGATTTAAAAAAAGAAACATGAACAAAAATGAAACCAAAGCGCCACAAGCCTTGAAAGAATTCTTGTTGTACATCTTTTCCATCCACTGGTGAAAAACTATCGCGAGACAAGGCCAGGCTGCATAGGAGTTTCACCATTAACACAGGAAGTTGCATCATATTGACCATAAAACCAGAATGTGGTCAGATAGTGTTACATTTTCACGCGACAATGGGAACGATTGATTACGATTATGAAGTACAGCTTGATGTAAATTCGTGGTATGGTGTTTTCTCTTTACTGGACGTTAAAGACAAGCAAAATGTCGCTCAGGTCAGTCGTTATTGGAAGGAGATTGTGTATCTTCAATCATTGTGGAATAATGTCTGTGTAACCCTTGGAAGCATTGATTATTCCTTGGCTACGAGTTTAAAACAGCGTAGAATAACTCGTATCGTGTGCCGTGGTTCGAATGACGAGGACTTGGCGATATTGTTTGATGCAAACCCTCATATCACAAGTTTGAAGATAGAKGGATGTCGTCAAGTTACTCAGCAATTTCTGCAGCGAAACCTGATCACGTTGAACGAGCTATGTTCCCTGCACATAACAAGATGCCCAGTTGACATCGAGACGTTATTTCAAGAAATCTCACTWACTGGCTTACTAAGTCGTCTTAAAAGCGTCACACTTCCAAGTCTAAATAGCTCAAGTTTTCCAGATTTGATAAAGAAGCTCCCAGGCTTAGAAGAAATAGATGATGATGATGATGATAGCTTTGAAATGAATGATTGTGATAATTGCATTAAAATCTTAGTACAGTCGTGTCCAAAACTTCAGAGTTTGAGACTTAGAAGATTATACAATGGTATAAGTCAAGAGACCTGGACCACGGTTTTCAAAGGACTTCCTCTCAGATGTATTGAACTGCGTCGTTGTATAAGTTATTATCTTATCGTTATTGCTGATAATTTACCAAACCTTGAGTCCTTGAAGACTGRTTCTCTAGTAATAGATTCTAAAAATGAGGTGATTGATGCAGTTAAMAAACTCAAAAACTTRAAAGAGTTTTCCTTTTCAATATATGACCCATATGATGATGAATATCTCGACCAAAAAGAAGAGGAATTATTGCATGAAATTTCTAAAATGAAACAATTAGAGTCTCTTAAAGTCAGACTTCTCGAGACAACATTTACTGGGGAAACAATATACWCTCTTGTTGAATCCCTKYCCAAGTTGAGMTCACTTGAACTGWGTCCAATTGGAAATATTAGTTCTGAATATGCAGATCTGATAGGAGAACGACTGACAAAGGTAAAGTCATTGAAAGCTATTGCTGAAAAAGATGCTGCTGCTGGAATTGTAGCTTTCTCCAACCACTTGACAAATYTAACAGATTTGACTATCGTGCACCGYGAGCTTCTTAATAGAGACATGAAAGAAATAACGTCTGGTCTCTTGCCAAGTAAACTCAAGTCCTTCAATGTTGCAGGGAGTGAAAAAATAAGGGACCAGGGACTGACTTACATTGCCACAGGTCTCAAATCATTGACTAGTTTGGATATATCTTCATGTAGCGTGAGTGATGTTGGTTTAACCATCATCAGTGAAAATTTAAAGTATCTTAAACAGCTGAGAGTTACTGGGAGAAAGGTTACAAATCAAGGTAAGAACTCCTTCTCTGGTAAACATTAATATGTTGTGGATTCGAAGTTGGATGGTAATTTTGATTTGCATCTTGAAGTTGTAGTATCTTGACATATTGTCAATGCTACTTCAAAGTGACTAGACTGAATCATTCACTTCATAATGCTGTTATAATGACAACAAAACATCATTTCTTTTTTTGCTAGTTATCTATTGAATTATGTTTCCAAAGTAGTCCTTATTGATGTGAAAAAAGAAAGCATATTCAAAAGCTTAAATGAATGTTTTTCATTAAGATCGCGAAGTGGCCAATATTACGTATTATGCAGCACTTGAGGAATATTCTGCTTTGTATTTATGACGTGTTTATGTTCTTTTTTCATTGATAATTTATTGGCTTTATGCTCATTTAGGTGCAGTTATGATTGGTAAGCATCTCAAAGCCTTAGAAAAACTAAAAATAAGTGGCACAAAGATTAGTGATCAAGGATTTACTTTCATCTGCCAACAACTCCCAAACCTTCGCAACCTACAAGCTTTCTGTGACTTGATAACTGATCAGGGTTTCTCGCAGGGAGCTACTGAGCTTGGGAAGTTAACATCTCTAAGWATAGGTTCTCACAGGATTCGTGCTGTGGCAATCCAAGATTCTTTTAAGAATCTAAAAAGTGTTGAGCGGTTCGGCATAAGAGCAATCGGGATATCTGAATATGTTTTTATAGAGAGGATAATCCAAGAAATGCCTTGTTTAGCCAAGCTGCTTGTTTATCGTTGCTCTCRTTCGAGAAATCTCAGCAGCTTTAGYATTAATAAGACTTATGAACTGTGTCGAAAAAATGGAATAAGTTTTAAATATGCTGGTCGTAGGTATTGTATAAAATTACCTTACCAAGCACCAGAAAATTAACTAGTAATATCATCTTTTAAAATGATATTAAAACTTTATAAAAAATAGAGTACTCAATTGCTCTGAACAAAGGAAAATTAGACTTCCATTACAAAAAATGGAAAAAGTTAAGTTCTATTTAAAGATTTTGCAAAAATAATGAAAAGTATCGTTAAAAAAGGGGGTTTGCCTTTTATATGATTGATGTTTTTGTTGTTGTTATATTCACTGTCTCTTTTTGTGGTGCTATATAGCGGAAAGTATTATTCTGGAATCGAAATTTGGCATTTGTGCCCGTGACTCGACCACTTTCGCGCCAAAGCTAAATGAACGTTTCTTATTGGTTCTTTTGAATTACGAACGACAGTTACTGGGGTATGCGCGTACGCGTATCGTGACAGATTCACTTTAATACCAGCTGGAAATTCATCTTCACGGTCAAACCTGTTTCTTTTTCTTTTCGAAGCGAAAGAAATTTATGTCCGCGGTGGGGCTCGAACTCCGGACATCTCGCGTCAACGGCAGAGACATAACCATGCCCACCAGACCATCTGCCCATTAACTATTACGTCATGACTATGTAACGAGGGGTTTCCTCTGTCATAATCGATAAAACTGCTTCTGCGAGGAACAAATGTGTTTAAAATTTTATTCTTTGGCGTAAAAATGAAAGAGGTTTTTAAAACTTTTTCCGCGTCCAGTGCGTATCGACAGTTACAAAGAGTCAGTGAAAATGAAGCTTCTTAAGTATCTCCTTGCAAAATCAGCTCTCACAATCTCCGAGTTATGTTGATGTATCTAAATCAATTGTGAGTCTAAATCTAACCTACAAACAAATTTTCGATTCCTTCATGCTATTTTATATTCAGAGATGATTTTTCTCGGGAATAAAATTTTCGATATTTTCACAACTGAATTTATTTTGTATTTTGTTTCGTAATTAAGTGTTCAGAAAAATCTTGCAAAAGCGAAATGTAATTAGCATTCACAGTTATTGCTTGTCCCAATGGGATTATAATCAACACATCTTGTCTACCATTGGACGCATTACTCATTAAACACSTTAGAAACACAAACAAAACAATGTGTAATTGTGACGTCGTTGCTTGAAGCAARCACGTACTCAGCACGTTCTCAATCGCATACCAAAAATTAAATCATCGTTTCGCTGCCTCCACGGGACATCAAGTAACCAGCCTGCAGCGATGGCCTCTGGAGTTCCGCTTTTCAGCTTCGTTATAATCGGTAAGATTTGGACTCTATTTCATTTTCTGTTTTTGTTTTAATTATATTGTATCTATCAAATGAAGTATGAGTAAGTAAAACAGCGATAGACAATCTCAAAGCSAACTAAGCATGCTTGAATTATTGAATTATCTCGTGTTGTGCTCAGGAAAATCTTTCCGCAGGATGTCCATAGAACCGATCGAAGTTCTAGTTAAATAGCGCAATCTTAGTTTCGCTCAAACGAATCTCTCGACTACATACAACGCAATTGAAATGCAAATTTTGTCAKTATATTTCTCAGCTTTACTAAGACAGAAAAATCATACTAAAAGTCTCCGAAAATAAAAGACTGATATGACTTTTTCTCGACGTTTTTAAAAAGGACAGAATTGGTTATTTARAATAACCGAGTTTGTTATTTAATGCCTGGACGCGTTGAGCAGCATGGTTTGTTATTATTGTCAGTTTGTTGTCTTAATGGTTCTTTGACAACGTACCAGGAAACAATGGCAGCCGCTGAAATCTTGTAGCTCAATTAACTCCAAAAACGTTGCTAAAATATTTTAATATATTGAACATTCGAACCTTAAAAACCATACGTTTTTTAGTCTGTGTTTTTTTCATAGATTTATCCTTTTCTCACAATCTGTATTTCATGTTTTAAGCATTATTTACCGCGGTTTCTGGACGACCTGGTTCTGATGGCGAACTTAAGATTCGAAAGAAGATTCTAACACTCCTGGATAAGACTGTACGGCCGTCGACTGGTCCTGACTTCAAAGTGGAGTTTTCTGTTCAATTTAATAGTCTTGATAATGTGGTAAGATGAATATGGTCTGGTTTTAATCTTATTTGGAATTGTTTTTTTTTCTTGTTTAATGCGTGCATATTGTAATCAATTTTCAGTAGTAACATAGTGTTTTCAATTGCTTTTATTACTTTACTGGGCCATCTATAATTCTTTATATATAATTGTTTGTAATTCATTTAAAGCTTATATTTTCATCACCGTTTTGAGCCATCGGGTCGTATGCATACATGTTTTGGCGGAAAGCTTTGTTCGTCTTCCGCAATTCGTTCTTTCGTTGTTTTTGAAGATAGTCAATGTCATGTACTATGTCTTTGTTTGTTGGTTCCTCTTTCTTTGCATTTATGCCTATTTTTATTCCTAGTTCCTATGCTTAAGCTTAAGTTCATCTACTGATTTTTAAACTACCCTTTTAGGAYTTTTAGTTCATACCATTGTGCTTAAATTTGCTGTTAATATAACGCTTAGTCACAGGTTACCCGACTATTTCTTGAGAGAAAGAAAAGAACAAATGCGCACGATTTTGTTATCGGCGCAGATACGCAGATTACCKGTGGCATTATGTCATGCTTTTTGACTAGGTTTTTATCCCGCGAGGCAAGGGATCATTGTCCCCAGGTAACCCGCATTTTGCTAATAGCGCGCGCCGATGCACTGATAACATGATAAAAGCGTGCGCATTCATTCTTTTCTTTCTCTAAAGTAATAGTTGTGTGGCCTATGGCTTAGTCAGTTTCGGCTGACATGTTTACGACGGTTTATGACGTCAGTACTATTAATTTGTTTTTTTGTTTTTGTAGGATGATAAACAGCAGACAATCACYGTAAAAACCTGGGTTGTCATGGTAAATATACTATATAATCATTATTCAAATAATGTTAATATAAATATCTAGTTGTCTCTTGCTTAGATATTTATATTAACTATGAATGCTACTACCATATTTTTATTGAATATCTAAATAATATGTAGGAAAACTTTTTATGCAAATGCTTTGCTTTGGTGTCTTTATGCCTTTCAAGTAAGCAACGTTAATGTGATTGATCGACTTCTTACATTAGGAAGCAGAATTTTTATGTTTTGGTGTATATAACTTTATACATGTATAAATATTAATCTTCGTTGCCTATTTATACGTCCGAAACTTGAAAAAATATATACCCCATTTTGCATTTCCAAACTCCATCTTGAAAGGTAGCCTAGCCTTTGAATCAAAGCGAGACAGGAGTTGAGCCTGCAGTGAAAGATACCTTTTGTCCTCACATAAGACAATTATTCACGGATATTTATCATTGAAAGCTGAGCTTCTGTCTCGTTTTGAAGCAAAGGCTCGGCTACCTATCAAGATGGCGTTTGAAGCAGTAAAATGGAGTATTAAAAATATATTTTTCGCTTTGATGCTGTGCAGTGCTACCGAAAGAGACCTAGGCACGACCAGAAGATTCCACACAACATTGTTGCATTATATTCATTGGTGTATTATTTTTTCCGTAGAAATGGAATGACACTTTTATTAAGTGGAATGAATCTGACTATGGAGGGGTTCAGAGAGTACACTTTAAACCCACAGAGATCTGGTTCCCGGACATTGCATTATACAACAAGTATGTACAGCGATTCTTGTTTGATTTCTATGTTCTCTCAAGATATACTTCTGAAGCTTTTACGTCACCTACTTGATTTGCAATGCATTGTGGAATTAGCTCCTGTTGAAAACAAAAGAAATCCGCCATGTTGTGTCTTAAACATATCGTGCAATGGATTGCTTATATGTTATAACACATACACCTACTTGC